AGGGAGGAAGGGAGAGAGAGAGGGAGAGGGAGGGAGGGAGAGGGAGAGGGAGGAAGGGAGAGAGAGAGAGAGAGAGAGAATTTTTATCATAACTGCCAAAACATGCTTTCAAAAGGAATCTTCTTCCTTCACCACCAGAGAGAAGCCACATAAGCAGACACGATGTCCAAAGACCGGGGGATGACTGGTGACGAGGCAGCGCATGACAGTCATGAACCTCCTCGCCATTCGGCCCGTCTTCGATTTGACACCTTCGGACAACCCGAGTGTTGCTGGGGTTCGTTTACCTCGCCTTTCGGGCCGGTTGCTGTACCCTATCGTGATTTCGTCATTCTCCCCGGACGGAGCGACGAACGACTGTATTCACAGTCTCACAATACTCCAGCGTGTGCCCAAGTGACGGACAGTTGACACCTTCATCTCCGGTAATATACTGGAAATATGGGGCCTTGAACCTTATGTTAACCTGTAATACGCCTCTATTCAGCCTGAAGTTCCATGTTCCCTAACGAAAATGTAAACAATGTGAAAAAGCGGTCCTCCCCAGTGCGTGAATGCCAATGTTTACTCGATTTGGCTCGAGGCGTCATGAAGGTACCAGCCGTAACTCCTCCAGGCGCTCAGCTGATCTAAACACACCGACTCAGCCCACTCACGCCCTTCGAATGTACTCGTGTATGAATCAAATTCAAGAAGTGTTTCTAGGACTAACGACGCCATGACCAAAATATTTCCCATATCAGGAGTTGTTTGGTTATTTACATGTTTATATGCTATACTTTCACGAAAAAATGCTGATATCACTTAAAATATTTTTTTTCTTTTATTTTACATTCGTTTCACGATGACACAATTATAAATTTTACAAATGACAGAACAGTGCCGAGAAGGAAGGTATAGCCCTACGGGTATACACGAGCCACCCTGAGGCGGCCAGCTGACTGGCTTCTTGACCTCATGCCATATGCAAAACAAATGAAAAATACTTCTAGAAGCGCAGAAACTTTGAAATGTTACTAATGTAAATTTGGACAAGACCTGACAGTGAGTATGAATAACAGGAGAGGCAGCGCGAGGACAACCCTGCCACCTGCCCTCCTTGCCCATTGTGTCCAAACATGTCCTCGCTGGCAAATGTTGTCAGTCGGCCTCTTCAGGTAGGTCATGCAAGGGTTGTACCGAGACTGCAAGGATGTGTCGATTCCATTTCGATATACGAATTTATTCATTATTACTTACGTCAGGACGGTATATAGATATGAGCCATAAGAGATAGTTATTGTAGCGAAAGTTTAATTAGACAATGTTACACAGCGGATTACGCAACTTACCTCATCGTCAACTTCTTCAACTACATCATCAACAACATCGTCGACTACGTCATCACACACATCGTCCACCTCGTGCATGATCTCGCCCTCTATGACCGAAAACACTTGGGTGGTACTCGAGGTGGTCAGTGACAGCGGGCTCGTCACATGCTGTTTGCGCGAGAGGACAATTTTGTCACTGTCTTCGGGAGATTTCCGTTTGAGGACTTCCGACGGGCTTCCTACGTTCAGTGGGGACATGGCCATTATGGAAAAGGTTAGTCACACAATCTGCACACTAACAGATATTCTCATTCAGTAGTTTTGGACGCTTGAGAATACACAACCGAAGCAAAACAGTTATTAATTGAGATCACAAACGACTGTTTGTGTGAACTCGAGTTGATTGATAGCGTGTGTTCTGACTCTGCACGTCGGCTTTGCTTTGTCCCTAACCTTGGAGATCCTCACGTTGTCCTGTTGCACTATTTGGCGGCTGTTTGTTTGGCTGAACAGAGATCTTCACACGAATGCTAGCACCACAGTATCACATGCACGACACAACAACACTAAAAAGCGTCACATATCCCTCGTTGAGCATAAATGTTAAAATTCGCGAGTCTTGGCGAGGAGCTAGGACAGTGGGTGGCGTCTAGTTAGCCTGAGGGAATGCGACTGCCAGACTTAGGAGTCTTATGCTTGAGTGACGCCAAGAGAGGAGAAGGAGGAGGAGGGGGAGCAGGTAGAGCGGGGGAACTGCTCACCTGCCATTATCTACCTGAAGGGACGAGATGCCCACATGCCCAGACCATCTCTGTATTCAGTCTGGGTAACTGGTAATTTCACAAGCAATTTTGTGCCTTAGTTATACCGAATGGAAGGATCACACTTGGGATGAAAGTGGCTGAAATTTTATAAAAATATACGAAATGATTGGAGAGTGTTGTGAGTCCCCCCGGCCCACCTGTAGCCAGAACAGGTGCCAGATATCGCAATATACAACCAGACTTTGTAAGTGAATTCTGTAATGTTTTATATTGCGTAACCCAGACTTTAACGAAGAGATTCAACAGTGAATGATCATTATTCGGTGTTCTAAAGTTGTGAAATAGTTTCAAATTGTGTAAAGAGAAATAACGGATATTTGTGTCGTCGCTCGGGTGATTAATGAAGAGCTTTCCCCTCAAAGCTATTTGTTTACATCACTTGCATGTCACATTCACTATAGAAATTCTTCTACAGGATGTGAATGTACGGAACATAACTATCAGGGTTTAACTAGTTCTTTGGAGTGATAAACGAGTGAGGGAAGAGGTGTGTGCGGTGGCGATCCCTGGCAACTCTGCTGGTACCCCCATCTGGCTAGCTCAGCTCCGCCCGTCGCGTTTCTTCCATCTCATTGTAATTCTGACCAACGTCTAGACTGACCTGGGCGGTAAGCTTTTTAGTCTGCGCTCTTTTCGCCTGCTTCTCCCCCACTTCAATCGGCAAGCTCAACATTCTCGTATACTGAAAGATGGTTATTGAGAAAGAGCAGTTTGGAGCTGCAGGGCTCGAAGGCGCCAAGGGAGGAGTTGCGTGGGTTGGGTTCAGGTGTCCCATGTCCCAGGACGTGCTCGGCGTGTACCGCTGTAGGGCATGTGTAGTAAACAATCATTCTAGGTACGAACAAATTTTTTCATTCAAATTCCAATGCAACATAGCATTTTTACATACATACTCATAATGTAGATAAAGGTCTTCATGTGTTATACTCACTACATTCAAGCACACTGTTCGATAATCTATCAGATGTCCCGAGGCGGAGGCAGGGCTGCGAGAAACATGGCAACACTGGCTAATGCCTGAGGCGAGACGTGGCAACAGTGGCGCGCGGTTTGCCCGATGGCGGGTTTTACCTTGAAGCTGTACTGGACCTTGCTAATATATTCGTACATTTTACAATTGTTTCGTGCAGTATGTACATACTAACATTTCGAGCATATCTCGCAAATTCGGGGTAATTTGGAAGTTCTCATTGCTAACCAGGGATGAACTTAACTCTGGATAACTATTTTGTGTGTGTTGAAGTCACTCACTTCTTGCCGTCCACAACCTACGAGCGAAAACTTTCGTTATGTTCCAGTCATTATGGGAATCATGCCCCTGGTCGTAAACACGACTGGAAGGTACCACAGGGCTTTTGTGGCGGGGCCTTGAAGGAAAATGGATGGCAGGTACCGAAGGACGGAGAAGAGATGCGAGAGATAAAGCGGGAATAACGAGAAACGCGTCAATTAATAATGAATATTCTGCGGACAAGGCTGCGCCTTTTTACTAGAACACTCTTCTCCGGAAGCAGTGTGTTCTCGCGATCAAGAAGTTAGTGATAGCGCATTTACCCGGAGTAATAAATTAACTTCAGGTCTCTCTCTAGAGAGAGAACAAATTAAGTATCTTTTAGACTACAAGACAACATCCATGCAATACAACAACACTAATATCGCTAAATTCGGCCATGATCAAGTTTATAATTACTCCATGACCAAGCAGTCTTAAGGTAGGATGAAGTAAAGTGGGGATGGAGAGGGGAGTGATCTGAGTGACCGTGGGGGCGGGTAGGAGGGAAAGGGGGAGGGGGGGGGCGGAAATGTAGGCCCGCATTCCGCTCTTTCCTGCTGTCGAGAAAAGGATTATTCGGCGCGATTAGCAGGGATCTTTATAGATCTATCTAAATTTTCTATAGAAACAACAAACCTCGTTCAATTAAAAATATAATTTCTAAACCTGAATCATCCCCTCTCGAGCTCCTTTCCCCCCCTCTCTCTATCTACCTATCATCTCTCTCTTTCTCTTTCTCTTTCTCTTTCTCTT